AAGGGAAAAAATACCCAGATCTGACGAACAGCATGTCCCTAGGATGGTGATTTTTATCCCTTTTTTTCCCCCTGCTGGAATGGCAAACAGGGCTTTTTTGTAACAATCCATTCAGCAGCGTTTTCTTCGCTTCCATTTTAAAAACTGTTTATCACCGTCCTGTAAATATAGTACAAATTACTCCATAAAACATGTAAAAGGAGAACAGCAGCCGGGCAAGCCTGCAGCTGGCTGGCGAGGTTTCAAAGCCGCGTTGTTTTTTTTTTTTCCTCCGGGGTGCCCGCGGAGGGGCAGGATCAGCTCGGCTCGTCTGCTGGGGCCCACGGCCCTCCCCGAGCCCCTGCCAAAGAAGACGACTGCCGGCGTTTCGAGCCCTTGGCTCGCGTGCCCCCCTTCCAGGAGGATGCTGGCCGGAGGCATGCCGCAAAGCCGCGGCGGTTGGCAAGCTTCACCCCGGCACGCGCAAGCGTGGGCGAAGGGGAAAAAGGGCCAAGAGCCAAAACACCTTGAAACGGGTCTTTTCCGTGGCTGCGGAGGGCGAGGCGGCAGCGTTTTGGAGGGGCGGGGGTCAGAGAGCATCACCCCGTCCGCGGCGGAGTGACGGCTCTCCGCACGCTGCCCGAGCCCGTGGGGCCACGCAGAACAGGGCGCTGCCCGGGGACCCTGCTGCCCGTACAAACGAAGCAGCCCCGGGGCAGTAATTAAGAGCGAGGTCATGCACGCTGGCCCCCGGCTGGCCACGGGGACCGCCAGAGCTCGTTAGGAGCTTTGTCAGGATGCCGGGGACAGGCACGGATGCGGATGCGCAGGGATGCTCTGTGCTGCGGATGCCCTGCCGGGTACCGCATACCACCACCCTTGCAGCCCCTGCTCCCGCAGTCGAGCCACCAAAGGCAACCCCACTTCAGCTCCGTGGGCTTTTGACCCACAGCGCATCCCGGCAAAACACTGAAAGGACGAGTCCTACCCCAAAACACGTACAACGGAGCAGCCGAGAGGCAGCAGAGCTTCTCTTCGGTCACCACCAAGACGATGCTGAAGGATAGCGAGGCTGTTTCAAAGATGCTTCCACCTCCCAAAGGGTAATAGCGCTGCGCCAAAGCCTCCGTAACGCAAAGTCTGGTATCACAGCTGGAGAGGTGGCAGCATTTCTACCCGGTGGGGCACTCCACCGAGCAGGGACAGGCTAGACAAGGCTTTGGAGATCGGAGAGAAAGAGGGACAGTCACTTGTGACTGATGGGAGATGAGCATCACTCCATAACAAAAGTTTCCTTTCCTCCTAGAGGGCATTTGTTTGCTTTAAACCCCCGATACCCACACTTAAAGGCTCCAGCTCTGAAGCAGGGAGGAGTAGTTGGCACCACTAAGCTGAAAGAGAGGACAAAAAAAAGGTCGGGCATAGGCTCAGTTACTCTCCTTCGAGCAGAAGCTGCAACAGATGCGTCTCCTCCGCTTTCTGCCCTTTCATCCAACCCCCCACCGCTGCTGGTGTTGCTTTGCCAGTTCACGGCTTTCGTCTCCCCTCGGCCAGTTGGATTTAACACCAAAGGCCGTTGGAGAAGCCAGCGTGGGGCAGGGACCACGGCGGGCTGCCAGCCCTCCGCAGAGCTGGGGGAGCGCGGGGGCTCTCCGTCCTCCTGGCCGCTTTGCCAGCAACGCTGGCCCCGAGCGCTGGGCGAACGGTGGCTTTGCCTCTTGGCAGCGAGCAGGGATTCGTGCGCATCTTTGATTTAGTTTCACGTCGTGGGCCCACCCTCATGAATTTTGCAAGGGCCCGCATCGCTCGTTTTATGCCCATCGGTGAGAGGAGGCCAAGCCCTTGCAGGGAGCGCGTGGTCCTTCCCCCGCCGGCCAGCTCACAGCCCGCTTCCCTCGGCTGAAAGGTGGGGAATCCCTTTACAACCCTGCTAGTCTCTCTTGAGCAGCTGAGGGGGTGGTGTTAATTAAAGATGGTCCATGGGTGAGGAAGACCCATGGACCCAGCTCAGCTCCCAGCCCTGCCCGTACCCAAGATCTTCCTCTGGACCTCGGGTGTCCCAGGTCCAAACCAAGATCTGGGGAGCAACTCCCTCTTGTAAAGCTCTTTGAGACCTAGAAGTGTTACCTCCTGGCTAAATACCATCAAGTAGGTTTTGACCCCTGCAGCATTTCTGCTGGCACCTCGATGCTGGTGTAGAGTAAGGAGCACGTGTCATTCCTGAACTGGAAACTGGGGTCAATGCAAGGCTGCATTCCTTATCAAAAATACATTATTTAAAACCCTCAAGAAATAAACCACGGTTGCATTTCCACTAACACGTCCAAAAAACAGCTCCATGGGGCAGACGCAGCATCCTTCGTTCCGCCTTGCGACCGCCATTTCCCTCGTCATTCTGCATTTTCTTAGCTTGAGCTCCTCGATATGGTCTACGCAGAGCATCAGATGCGACTTTGCCCAGGCAGTATAAGGCAGTAATTACTTCCCTGCCGTTATACGCAACACCCTATAAATTACCCATCCCTTTTTGCGGGGGGATCACCCACACGCTCGTGGCTCAGGCTGCCCGTCAGCATCCATCCCCGTACCGCGACGCTCCCACCAGCAGTCCCTGCTTTATACTCAGATCTCATTCTTGCCCAATTTGAACCTGTATTGATTTTTCCCCTCATTTCTCTAACTTCCCTTAGCTGAATACCATCAAAAACAAAGGATAAATTCCCTTTTTGCCTGCTTCCCCTGTAGATGCGGTAAGTACACCCTCCACACCTACCTGCAGGTCATTTGGAGATATTAAATTAGAATAATCGGGCTCTCAAAGCAATTCTCTCGGGGCTCCTTCACCCAATGATTTCTCCGAGTCTACAATCCAAGCTGGGAGAGAAGGATGACCAGAAGGAAAAATGCAAACTAAAAGTACATGCCCTGGTGCATCTCCAAGAGAAATCACTTCAGACACCAGCAGTTGCACAGTATCAAGAATTAACTTTATTAGCAACAGTACCGGATAATTAAGTTCTGTCTCAAGAGATATTCGGTCTGTAACACGAGGGAGAGAATGAGCAGAGGTGCGAAGCAGTCAGCAAACGAGCAGAATCTCATCGTACCCGGGACCGGGGGAAAAAAAAAAAAAATGTATGAGTTGAGGAGAGCAGACCACGCGGCAGGCTCTCAAGCGGGAAGCACCGAAGGCCACGAAGGGACATTTCAGTTGCCAACGTGAGGTTGGCTTAGGCTTTTCAGCCGTGACCAACTACCGCGTTGGAGGCAATGGGAGCGCTGAGCCTCGTGGGCAGCACCCAGCCGGCCGGCCAGCATCGCTGGGCTGCCCTTCAAGCTGAGGTGGGCCTTCACCTGGGGCAACGCTGGCCAAAGCGGTCCCTGGCCAAGTGTCGTAGGGCTGCAAACCTACCGAAGAGACAGGATTATGAGCCCGCACGTGCAAAGTCGGGTGCCGTAAAGCTGCTCCTCGGTACCGCACGCCCTGTAAATTTTCCGCTCACGTCTGGATTTTATGCTTAAATAAAACTCAGCCGTAAAGCAAAACTGTGTGTGTATTGCCAACGAGCCCAAACTAAATGCTGGAAAGTATTTATATAAAAAAACCCAACACCCACCAAGCCTCCATTTCGCCCCGTGGCCGTAACTGCTGTCGGTCCTGCCGTTCTCCCAGCAAAGGCAGGGCGGCCGCGGGTGGAAAGGCACCAGCCCCGCGTCCTCCCTCTCGCTAACCACCACATCCAGCACGGCAAGGAGATGGCCTGGCAACCCAGACCAGCAGCTTCACCACTGCTCGGTCAAGCAGGAGATGCTGAGAGAGCATCCACTAACGACCCAGTCTTAAAGGAAGTATTTTCCATAGATAGCATCCCTGAGGCATCAGCTGTCATGCCCAGTTATGCCATTACATCCTTGCTTACCAGTTCACCTCTCCTAGACCATAAATCCACGCAATTTCAGTAAATAAATACAATCATTTTATTTAGTCCAGGCTGCATTTGCATATGGAAGTTTAAATGACTTTAAAAGCCGGTTCCCTTTGGGTGGGCCATCTTTTTGGGTGTCACAGTAGCTCAACCCCTCTGAAAGCATCGGGAGACCACATGTCTACCTAAATTAATCAGCTTTCTGCTGCGAACATCACACCAGAGCCTCTCCAATACCTCTCCCTGGCTTTTATAGACCTTTCTCAACGCAGACTAAAGGCATCTTAAAAACCTTAGGCTAGGACCACTTAGCATTTCGTGTTCCTTGGGCTTCAGCTGCAGACAGGTAAGTTAAGAGTCCACAACCGCCACACCGTGGTCACAGCAGGAGAAATAGTCTCAGGTTGGCCACAACATACAGCCCCGGCACTAGCAGCACCATGCTGGGGCCTCCTTCAATCTTATCTGGAAAAATTAAAGCACGCAGAAGTCCAAGTGGAGAGGTTTCCCTTATATACGCTTTTTCATGGGATGAATGTATGAAATCCCCCGAAATGATGCCCTGCTCCGTGGCACGGCTGCTATCTGCTCCTGAAGCTTGCTTAAAGCTGCTCCAGGGCTGAAACCCCCTTCAGCTCAACGCCACCGTCACAGCTTGATGAAGGGGGATCCCCCCGAGACCACCAAGACGCTGCAGGGCTAAACTCCTAACAATGAGGCAGCAAAGCCCAAGGTGCCGTCAAAAGCCCCGGTTTCAGTTTAAAACCAGCGTGGTGGCACCAGCAAGCCACCCTTGCTCACCAGCACTAAGGTGAGGGACAGGTTCCCCTGTGCCCCCGGTGCTTCCCTGAGCTCCCTGGGGAGGACGAGGCTTTTTTGGTCCGTTTGCTCCGGTCGAGCTGGGGAGTGACAAAGGTCCGATGGGACCTCCCAAGCACAGGAGTCCTCCCAGAAGGAGGGCTGGATGCAACCCTCCCCCCCAAAACAGGCAGCCTGCCCCAAAACCACGGCATGCCTGGCTTTTGGGGAAAAAAAAAACCCTAAATACCCAACAGCAGCACCGCAAACCAAGGGCATCCCCCCGCCGCTGCTCCTCTACACGAGGTGGACAATGAGAACGGAGCAGGCGGACCCCACAGCCAGCCCCAGCATGAGGTAAAATGTCATCACCACCCCCGCCGCCTCGGCCAGCTCTTTCGGCACAATCTTGGGGCCGTAGACGATGACCAGCGTCCCCAGGTAGCCGTTGCTCAGCCCCAGCAGCGCCGTGAAGACCACCGGGTAGACATCTCGGTTGAAGACCACCGTCCGGATGTGAGCCCGGGGTTGGTAGTTGCTGAGGATGAAGAGAGGGAGGAAGATGGTCCTGAGGAGGACGAGGGTGGGCAGCAGCTTGCTCTTGGGGCTGGGCACCTGGATCCAGGCGGTGATCTGCCTCCCGCACCAGTCGGCAAAGTTGTACAGGAGGAAACTGGTGAGCGGCGCAAAGTACTTGGTGCTCCACAGGCTTCCCGAGGACTTGCTGACCGACTCGATGTTGGAGGAGAGAGAAGGGAAGATGATGATGGAGACGAAGAAGACGTAGAAGAGGCAGAAGCCGAGGAGGGCAGTCTTCTGCAGGATGGGGCGGAGCGGGGGGATGCCGGTGCTTTTTGCGAGGAAGGAGGTATTGGCGGTGCCTCCTGGCTCTGCCTCGTCCTCCGCGGAGCTGTCGGGCGGCACAGCGGTCAGAGATGGGCTCTCCTTCTGGCTGCTCAAGTAATACCTGGAAAAAGAGGAGGAGGGAGATCATTAGCCAAGTGTGCGGGGGGGGAACCCAAACTGAGATTTGGAGAGAGAGCAGGAGAGAAGTTGGCGACGCAGTGATGTCTGCTGGACCCAGCGAAGGCAGTTGCAGCAACCCCATCGCACCTCCAGCTCCCACCTCGTACGGAGAGGTGACCCTCAAGGACCCACCACCCCCTCTTCCCTACCGTGGGGATCCCTGTCCTCCCTCGGTGGTTCACAGGGGGGACCTACTGCACGCAGGCGTTTGGGGGGCCGGGTGGTTTCGGGGGTTGCAAGCACCAACAAGACCACATCAGTGCCTGACATTGCAGATACGGACGCCCTACGGG